TCTTTCATTTCCAACGCATGGAAAAGACTTCCCCATGACCTCCGAGTCAGCCAGCTGTTAACTTACACAGAACTTCGCTGCTTTGAGGCAAAAGTCTAAAGATTCATGCCAAAGTGCTGTGCTTTGTGACACGGGTAGTTGGGCTCGTGGTTGGTTGGTTTGGTTGGTCGGTGTGTTAACAAAAGCTTTCAGAGTCGTCCTAAATATTTCTCTGTTTGTTTCAGGAAAAAATACGTTGAAAATGAACTAGAAGCTGCAAGAAGATGGCCTCACAAATGGGGATTCTTGAAAACACCTCATGAGGAGGTAAAGTTAAGTGGCATATAAGCAACACATGAAATTTACTTGCGTGCGAGTTTGGACACAAAATTCTGAAAGCACAGAAGACTAGAAAAGTACTGAGTATGCTTAAGTAAGCTAGGTGCCGAGGTAACAAATGCGCTCTTTTAAGATGGGGTCAAAGTTGCCGTTTTTCTCAGAATAAAATATGGCAAGTAGTAATTTATATGCTGTGCATATTCTGATATATTTCTCTTGAGAAACATGACTCCCAATAGTGTTAACAAGTACTAGATGCACACTGACAGGAAAATATTTCCCCTTTGTCTATCCATATGGTAGCTTAAAAATCTAGGGGAAAAGGTTCTGGCTAATTAAATTTTCAGTGGGGGAATTAAAAACAAATGAAAATATTTGGAGAGATGTCTATTCTCAGTGATGTTTAGACACTAGAATATAGTAGCACATAGGGTTACGTTTGGAATCACAGTATCCCGTTGCTAAAGAACAGGATTGATGCGGCCCCTGAATAGCTATAAATGTACTTTCCATGGGGCTAGAAGTACTTAACCTGTAAGTAGTACTTAACCTGTTGCATTTTGCGTAACTTTTTTAGAACTACTTAACCTGATTTTTTGAAAATTCCTGTAGGCATCTGAGTTAGCACCTGTGGAAACTCTGGTCCTCTAGGCTTCAACATCTACCCTTGAGAACTATGGTCTGTCACGCGTGCCACCTTTGCACAGTACTAACAGATCTGCAGCTGCAAAGCTGACAAACTCTGCATTGTGCTATCAGTGAATAGGTGTATTTAGCAACAATTAATCTTTACTTTGTGGTCATATAAGATACATATAAGACATATTTCTAGGCCCTTCTTGGACCAGTGATGTAGTTAAGGGAGTTGGAATCACAACAATATTTAGCTTTTAATCTGAAATTCAGAATTCCAACCCTTTCTCAAACTGAAAAAATATAGTCATTTCCAAAGCACTACAATAAATACTCCTGGTTTAGGTGGAAAGAACAGAGAGTTCAGATGCAACAAAGGGGAATGGTGTGGGTATCAGATATTAGAGCATATTTCAAAAGATAAAGACTCCAATTTTTAATAATGTTTTGGTTTTAGTTGATTGAAGATGAAAAGAAAGAAAATACAAAGCCCAAGATACAGCTTCCAGAACATCTGCAGGTTCGACCTGTGACACCTGTGGAAAAATACATTAAGGTTAGAAAATTAGATTTTAAAATTGCAATACAGCAATATCTGTCTTAAGAAACCACACAAGCTCTCGAAATCAGTTGTCTTGTAGAGGTGGGCCTTTAACTAAAGGTCAGAGTAAATTGTATTTGCAACCCGAGCAATGCTTTAAAAGCATTCATTTAAGACAAGGAATTGCCCTTTGGATGTGGTTGTTACTTCACAGAGTTTTCACTGTACAGAATGGTCTTTCTGTAAAGCACCTCCCCCATGCACTCCTCTGTGACATCTAGTACAGAACAGTCAACGGTGCAGCTTAGTACCGGCATGCTCACAGAGCCATCGGACTGCTGACCACTCACTGCTCAAATACACATACACGTCTTACTTCAAGGCCTGTCACAACCTTAACTCTCAGCTTTAACTATTAAGGTGCAGTCATTTTTCAGGCTGTATTTAAGACGGTTGTCTTTTTGGCAAAGACAATGCTGCTGTGCTCTTTAGTGGCCCAAATTAGATTAGCCAGGAGAAGCCAGTTCTAATGAGGCAATTTATAACTATTTGATTTTATATGATTTATATTCACATATTCAGAGTCTAAAAGGTGTCAAACAGCTGGAAATGAGAGTCGAATGGGACCAATGGCTTGATTTATAAATATGCAGTGTCAGAATCACCAGTGAATAGGATAACTATACAGAGCACTACATCAGTGACCTTGGGAGGAACAGTCATAGAAAGGGAAACAGAATGTAATGACAAAAAAGGAAGGTTAGTCCACTTAGAGAAGATTAAGGAAACAAAAGAGATTAGAAATTCCTACTTGCTGAACTAGCTTTCTTTCACAGGATTCCAAGGGTAGAGAGAGAAGGTGAGGAAGTAGTAAAAGCTTCTACTGAGATTAAATTGAAATAAAAATTAAGAGCTAGTGCTGAGTGTGGCAGAGCAATTAAATGGCAGCATTTCTGCCATTAGTGCTACTTGTTCTTCATATTTGTCTCAAGCCTCCAAATTCCGGCGAGTTTACCTCTGTTTCAGCACAGTGAGGGTGTATGTGTGGTAACAAATCACGCAGACAGTTATCAGCTGCTGAGGCAGCATGCATAGCCTAGTGCATACTGAAACAGGGATCGCAGTTTCACATCAGAATATGTATTTGCTAAGGAAGATACAAGTTAGCTGTGATTTAGGTCACCCTTTACGTGTTCACAGTGAAGTTTCTTAAGTCCTTATTCAGGACTGTGTGTCTTTCTGCACATTTACCATCATAGTAAGAGTCATCATGTCTGTTCTTCTCTCTAGGTTCGATCATAATGGCTTCTTCATAGTCCCTTTCCCCAGATCATAAGTGGGACATGACTTTCTTCATTATCCTGCTCAGTGGGTGGCACTTTTGGCCATAAAAATTATCTTTTCAGAGGAACTGCTCCACCTAAATATCATAAACATTTTGTAATCTTGGCCAGAGAACAAAGTGAAGCAACTCTGGCAAGAGAACTGAAACACTCTTCTCTCGCTAAGTCCCCAGATGCTAAAATGATATAACGTGCCCGATTGAGATGATTCAGCCAAAGTAAGCACAGCAGTCAGTCAACAGAGGCTGTTGGCTTTTGTTTTGTTTCCTTTTTAGCTAGATTAGTTGCAGATTAACTTGATGCTTACCCATCTTTTAAAGTAAAAAGAAGGTGGAACGAATAAGTAGTTCCTGACGCAAAAGCCAGCTTGGTCAGTAATATCTTTAGCATTTGGCCACAAAACTCTTATTCCGTAGCTGCATTGCTACCAAATACATTGCAGCAAGTATAAAATGCTATTTCTCCTGTTTAGAGAAGTTAACTTTTTAAAGATGATGATGATGTAAGGAAAAAAGCTAAAGCTGAAGATAAAATTCTCCTAATACCATAAAGCCAGTACAGCCCTTAGAAAGGTACTGAGCCAAACTTTAAAAAAAAAGTATGCAAACATAAACTACTAAACAATAACTTTGCTTTTGATTTCCTGTTTTACATACTAGTTTAGGAACTAAAAGATTTTTTTCTTAGAAGGGTGGTAAATAACAGTTTGTTATTTCATTAGAATTTGGCCATTTTATTTCACTCT